TATATAAATTTATATTTTTAAAGACAATTTTGATTGTATAAATTAATATTTTATAATATTTTATTAAATAATTATTTCATAAATACAAAATAGAAAAAATCAAATGCATAAATGATCCAAATAAAAACAACTAGAAATTTTTATTGTATATATGAATATTTTGTAATATTTTCTAGAATACTTAATCCTGAATTACAAAATAGAATATTTTAATATGCAACTTTATATTTTGTAATATTTTCTAAATATCATAACTAAAATTTTATTAATCTTATTCATTTCAAAGTTAAGCATCAGTCAAATTGAAAGATAAGAATGTTTTTAAAATTAGTAAGAACTTGAATTATTGATATAAATTTATCAAAAATTTGATTCTGTCCTTCTTATTTTTGTAAATTATTTAGAGATAAACTAAAAATATGAATAAATTAAATATATATATATATTATAAATATATCATAGCTGAATTAATTGTGATTATGTATTTTAAATTATTCAAATATATTTCATAATTTAATAAATACTATTATTATTTTCAATAAAATCCTTCCTTTCATTGACGATTATCCTTTTATTGTTCATTACTTTGTCATAACTACAGGAGTTTCATTTACTTTATGTTTTGAAAAATATTTATCATTAGACCATTTGGTTCTAATTAGTTATTGGGTCTGTGGATTACATGTAAATTTCGTTATAAACCTTGGTATGTGTTTATCATAAACTTGTTTAAATGTTATTCCAAGCTATCTTGTTAAGATTTTAGGATTATTAGCTACTCAATAATTTGTGATAAATTAAATACTCCGATATTTTATTAAAATATATTATTTATATAATATATCTATTTAATTCAATACTTATTTTCAAAATTTTAGATATTCTCTAATCAACTGGACGTTTTATTCAACTCGATTTCAAGCATAGCTATAAGAACTGTCTATAATTATTACTTATTTTATTGTTTTTGAATTAGATTTATAGTATTAGATTAAATATTTTATATTTTAAGCAAGAAATAAGATTTTTAGATAATTTTTCTTCAATAAATTGTTTGAATATATTTCAAATTCCAATTACTCAATTCTTGATTTTTTTTGTTGAATTTATCCATATGCTCTTTATTATGATTAATAAATAATTGAAGTAATTGTATATTTGATAATTTATAAAATGGGGTAATGTACATCAAGTGATGGGGATCCTCAACCAGCAAGTAGAGCAGTTTTGAAAGCCAAAATAAGAGAATTTCCTAATATTGACTTTTATAAAGGGGACTATCCAATTAATTTGCATCCTTCAGTGAGTTTTCATCAAAAACATTGGATGAATAATCCCCAAAATCATTAATTGACTAAATTTTACTCTGATCTTGAATCAGACAAATAATATATGCAATGGTTATATCCTAATTTCTTTTAATCATTTTTAAATATGAATAGCTACAGATTAACACCCTAAGAGAGGAATAAATTTTTGCAAGATCCTGAAGTACTTTTTTATGTATATTAAGATTATGAAAGTATACAAATAAAATGTTGGAATGTTTCTTAGATTTCTTGGAATTATTAGAAATGAAAGATAATAATTAGAGATAATTGATGAGACATAATTTGATTAGTGTCTTTTTACTTATACTCATAATTTAAATAGAATCTAAAGATTTATTTCGTCAATGAGCGTTTTGGGAATGAGAGAAGAAGCTTTAGAATTTTTGCATTTATTACAAAATAAATTGAGCAAAAAACATAAAGTCTATATATCTAAATTTTCAGGATTTGAACCACTTTTAGAAGAAGGAGCATTGGATTCAACATAATTGAGGTATTAATAATTTCTTATTTATAGTGATCCAAATAATAAAAAAAGTTTTGCGGAATATAAAAGTAATTATGTTTAGGAAGATTTACATGAAGAACCATGGGTAACTGTTGTAATTTTGACAAAAGAAGCAATTGAAATTTCTTAATAAGAAAACTCTATAAATGAGAAAGAAATTGTTTGAATAATTTATATGTTATTAATTAAATAATAATTCTGATGATTACATAATTTGAAGAATAAAGTCTCTTAACATCACCAACAACAAGCAAAATTCTTTAATTTACTTCAGATAATATCTTAATTTGTGGATCAGGAAATAGATTGATGGAGTATAATTTATATAACAATACTGTAAAGCCAATTATCTAAACCAGATATAATGTAAAATACTTTAGTGTTCACAATCAACAATATTATTCAAGCGTAGATGATTAATACAATATTCTATGTAATGGCAAACATATTAAGAGTAAAAACTAGCAAATCAAATAAATTAAGCATAGTCCCGATGGAAAGATGATAGCAATTGCTTATCTAAATAAATTAATTATATATACCTTATAAATGGAAAAGATAAAAGTGCATTCCAATAAGCATAAAATTAATGGAATTTGTTGGTCACCAGATAGTCGATTTATATTATCTTGGGGTGATGATAATTCTGTAATTATTAATAATGTCTTTAAATTGAGATTATATACTGATATTTTGTTGTAAGCTCATAAATTCAAAATAGCTTCAGCATTTTTCTTAGGAACTAATGTTTAATATATAATGACCATCGATGTTCTAGGAAAAGTCTGTTTATGGAAATTTGTTACTGATTATGTTACTGAATAATATGAAGCAAGATAAAAATTCTAAAAAACAAAGGCTTAACATCATTTAGGAGTTGATAATGATTAGTCAGAATACTCAATAGAGGAATTGAAATATATGAGTGATTTTGAAAAGAATGTTCATAAAGGTAGATTCATTTTAGAGAAGAAAATAAATATCAAAGAAAAATTGGTAAAGCATTTTGCAGCGATTAAATCTGTTGCATATCATTCATCCAATATGATGATTGTTGGAATGAAAAATGGAGTTTTAACATTGTTTAAAATAGAACCCTCTGAAGATCCTTTCTTAATTTAAATATAAAGCTTTTAAATAACCCAAACATAAATTGATAATTTGGCAATCAATAAAAATGGAAATTGGATAGCTTTAGGTATGAGAAATACTGGATAATTGATTGTTTGGGAATGGAGATCTTAGAGTTATATTTTAAATTAATAATCATTGAGTTACGAAACTACCTGCTGCACTATTAGTTAGGATTTAACTACAATAGCAGTTGGAACACTAGGAGGAATAATTAGATTGTATGACTAAACTTCAAATTTCTGTATAGCTAAATTCAATGATTAACATAATTCTAAAGTAACAGGCATAAAATATTGTCCTTCCAAACAAGGTGTATTAATATCTTGTTCACTTGATGGAACTGTTAGAGCCTATGACACTATTAGATTAAAATGTTTTAGAGTTATGTAACCTGAAATATTGAATTAATTATAATGTTTAGATGTAGAACCTTCTGGCGATTTGATTTGTGTAGGTGGATTTGATCCTTATGAAATCTATGTTTTTAGCTTATAAACTGGTTAATTAGTAGAAGTAATATCAGGCCATTAGGCTCCAATTACATCAATTAAGTTCATTTAAGCAGAGGAGAAGGTACTATTAATCTCAGGTTCTTGGGATAAAACTATAAGAATTCATGATTTATATGCAAGAGGGATGAAGGAAGGTAGTGGTGGAGATTCAATGTTACACAATAGCGAAGTTACTGCACTTGCCACTAGAGATAATTAAATAGCTGTTGCTACTATGGGTGGTGAATTGGTTATATGGGATGTTAATGAAAGTTTAATATTATTTACTTTTGATGTTCATAGAGATGTCTAAGGAGGTAGGATTTCAAGAGAAACTTTAGCAGCTTAAAAAAATTAAAATTTAAAGTATTTTGTTACTATTGAATTTTCAAAAGATGGGTAATATTTAATTGGAGGAGGTAATAGTAAATTTATTTGTCTTTATGATATGAAATATAGAATATTGATAAGGAGATTTATTATTTCAAATAATTATTCTCTTGATGGAATGAAATTAAAAGTGAACTTTAAAACTATTGATTAAGAGAATAAAAATATTGAAGAATCTGATGATGAGAGATAAAAAGATAATTTACCAGGAGCTAAGACATTTGATGTTTCAAAAAGGAGTAGTAAAAGAGTTCCTGTTTCAGTATTTAATTTACAATTTACAGAATCAAATAGAGAATTTATTGTGTCTTCAAGTGAAGGAGTTTCAATTTTTGGATCAGCCAAAAGAAGATAATATTTTGATCCTTTAGATATTGATGAAACTGTGTCATTAGAAGAAATTTAAAAATAAATCAATTAATAAAACTATATTGAAGCATTAATATTAAGTCTTAAATTAAATGAAGCCAGTATTTTAGACTAAGTTTTTAACTCAATTCCAGTAGATTCTATTATAACAACAGTTCCAGCCATACCAGAATCATTAATTGTTAGATTATTAGAAACCATAATAAGATCAATGCAAATTAATAGATCAGTCGAATCATGTCTAATTTGGATTAAATAAATATTAATAGACTTTGCTCCATTAATTAAAGGATCAACTGCAAATAAGAAAGTAATTTTATAATAAATTTTTAGGTTTAAAATATGCTATAAGAAGTCTTAAAATAAATTAGACTTGATTTTAACAGAATAAAGAATCCGATAAGAAAGTGTATCAATATTTTAGAATATTTATCAAGTTGATGATATATGTATGTATAATAAATTTAAGTAATCATCATATATTGCCATTTCTTTCAGTTATTGATGTAGGTTGACTAATTTTTCTTTTAAAAACTTCTTTTTACTATCTTGTTGATTAACTTTACTCAACTAATAAACTTGAACTACTTCTTGATATATGTTCAGAAGGACTCTTCTCTCTTAATATATTATTATTAGGATATCTTCTAATCAAGTGTTTAATATTATGTTAAGAATAAAATGAATTATCAATATTGCTTTTATTAGCAGGTTATTTTTTAACAAAATTTTATTTGTTAGGACTTGTATCTGATATCAGTCTTTCTTCAATTTTTAATAGATCTTCTAATTTTACATGTTTAAATTATTATTAAGGTTGTTCTTATTCTCTAAGTGATGGCAATGGAGACTCAAATGAAAATTCCTAACATATAGGCATCTATAAGATTTATTCTCTTAATTCAGGTGATCTTTCATCAACTATTTTTGAATTAGATTCTTATTATTTCCTTTAAATATTAATTATTTAAAGAAAAAAGTCCATATATATCTATTTGTCTGTATTTTCAGCACATTTCATTAACATTTATAAATTTGAAGGCTCAAACAATTTAGCTTTGTCTAATACTTAAAAAGCCTTTCTAATATGATCAAATTCACTTGTTTTATCTCTTGAACTTTCTAACTTTGAGTCCCATTCACCAATATCATCCATTTATGGGGGTTATATATGGGATATCTTTGTAAGATCAAATGATTAATTATCAAGTAAGTTCTTATAAGCCTCTCCACATAACTCACTTATATCATGAACTTATTTTTAAGTTTCTTACAAAGAAGTTTGGGTATCATCATAAAGTAATTTCTCAATTTCTTGCATTTATAATTAGATTTCGCTTTTTTCTTTTAAAATCTATTTTTATGTTTAAGCTAAAGCAATTCCAGACTTTTACAATGAATCACACATTTTGAATAATTATTGAAGTTTAGTCTAAATTAATTGTAATCTACTAAATAGTTGAATGAAGTCTTGTAACTAAATTTCAACAAACTAGGAAATCTTCTAATGTTTATAAGGTTTTAGAATATTGAAAATGTAATTCAAATTTTCGACTAATAGTTTTTTGATTTAATTCATTAATATATAAATTAAGATAATCACTCTTTCTTTGCTAAAAGGTTTGTATCTGTTCTAGCTGCGACTGTCTTAAATTTTTCCATTTTAAATGGTTCTTTTTTTTCAGCTCCTTTAATCACTGCAAGTTTTTTATGATTACTATCATGAAATAATTATGATGCCTTATTTGGTCTAACAATTGTATTCGTCATTTTGGATTCCTATATGATATAAGATGAAAAGTGATACTTATGAGCCAGCTCTTTTGTAATATTTGTCTAAAGTAATCGATGCTGCTTCTATTCCATAAGAATTACCCATTACTAATTTCATAGGAGTGGATGGTCTAAGGAATATATTTAGATAATAATATAAACCTGTTTTTTCTTCCGTATCTAAACTCCTCTTCTGGTAATTCAATAGCTTAAATGTTAGTGCCTTTTTTAACTTGTAATCGAGCATCATGAGTTTATCTGAATTTATACATATCCTAGAAGGAATATCAAATTAAGTTACATGTGCAGTAAGAGATCCATTGAAAACAGACATCTTATTAAGTTCAGCAAAATCTCTATTTGGAATTCTATCCTAAGATTCTTGATGAAATTTCCAAGTCATTGTTACTGAAATAAATTAGATAAGTAAATAATTACCTTCTTTGGCACCTTCTTTGTCTCTGATAAGAGGAAGGCCATAGATATAATCTTATTTTGGCAAATTGTATGTTGAGGGTTTTGGTTTTCCAACATCATCCTTCATAAGCACTGGATTTGAATAATTATGCGAGAAAGGAGGAGTTGTATACATTATTAATAAAAATATGAATTTATTAAATTATGACTTTATTGCTCAAGAAAATTTGAAGTTTTTAAAAACATACAAATACAAAGGCACTGATTAATCGTTGCTGTATAATTATGTCCTTTCACCTTTTGCAAATTGGTGTTTAAAATATGTGCCTTTTAATGTGGCGTAAAAGAATTTTCATAAAAAAAAGTCCTAATACGCTTACCTTGTTGGGACTAATATGCATCATAATTTGTCACTTATTATTTTATTTTGTGATGGGAGACAACTTTTAAGGAACAATACCAGATTGGTTATTGTGGACAACGTTCATTTTACATATGATCTATATGGTAATTATATTTTACCTAAATTAGAATTTTGATAATTTAGATGGAAAATAAGCCAGAAGAACAAGTAATGTAGTTAATAAATTGTATTTATAGACAATTCATCTCCTTTGGGTATGATTCTGGATCACAATTTTGATTCTATGATCATTGCAATATAAGGTAATTTATGGACGTAATTTAGGTACAAATTTCGTCACATGTCTTTAATGTGGATAATCATTATTAGCATTTTTATTAATATGTGTTCCAACTTATCCATTCTATATCATAGCACATGAAGAATACTATACACATGAAATGAATTTGCCAATAATTAATGCTGCTGCAGAAGGCACTGTTTTTGTTGGCTCATTATTTGCCATTAATGCCATATTTGGTATTTTTTTATTGAATTTATTCAAGGTTGCGATTTTTGGACTTAGAAGATGCCACAGTTTTATAATTTATAATTTAATACAGTGGCTATAATTATATTTTTTGTGGTTGTTGCCTTTGGACTTCCATTTGTGTAATTAAAATTCAAATATTATTTATCAAGGTTCAAGAAAATTACAAAATTCGTCCCGCTTTCTCAAGCCCTTAAATCTCAAAGGTACATGCTATTCACGGGCTTAGTGTTATTTTATGTAATACTCTTCTCTCCAAGTGATGTTGGTTCTAGACACATGAGAGCAATTCTCTATATATTTGGTTTCACAATGAGCAAAGCTGTGGTATTTGAATCATATTTATTTAAGGGTATTGTGGCTGTATATCATGTTAGCAATTAAGATTTACCTAATTATTTGAATTCTATTTATCTCTTCTTCGTATTGCTGTTAAATACGATATATGGGTAAATTTTTGGATAAACAATAATTGAAGAAGGATTATTATTATAAATAATAGCTTTGATAACTATTCTTGTCCACATCCATTTCTTGTACAATATAACTAGATAAATTAGCCAAGCTTTGAAAATTAAAGTATTTAAAATCAATAAATGATTAAATTTATAAATGGATATTAATATAGGAGAAACACTCTTCATTATTGTAGGTGCTGCCATTTCTATTTCAGTTGGTGAATTAGTATCATGGTTCCTTGTTTATAGAAATGCAGATTATAAGGACCTTGTATCTAGAATAGAGACTGCTGTTTCCAAATATAATAAAGAGAAGGAATAATTTGTTAAGTAATTCGTTTTCTTATATGCTTTATCAGAGAAACAAATGCTAAAAATTAAGAGAAGAGATTAGCATAAATTGAATCATAAATTAAAGGATTGAATTATGAAATGACATTTAAGAAAATGATATCTAATGCAGCAGTAGCTATACTCTCTATTGTTACAATTAATTCAATTGGTAATTACTATTCAGGAATTGTTGTGGCTAAATTACCATTTGAACCATTTTGGATTCTTTAATAAATTACTCATAGAGGACTTAATGGTGACGATTTAACAGATTGTTCCTATATATTCATTTATATTTTATCAGCACTCATATTTAAATCTAATATACAAAAAATATTTGGTATCTATTTAATTTATTATACCTAGGCTTGGAAGGTCCTAAAATGCCATTTGGTCCTGGTGGTCCTCAACCTAGTTTATTCAAGTAGTGAATATATACATTACAATATTATTAATTAACTTTATTTAATTGTTTCTATTATCTCTTCATATATATTCTGAATTTAATATATTTATTATTTAATAATCAAATCAAAACTACATCTATTGATGAGTTAAGAAGAATATTAAAAATAAGAAGAAGCTCCAAATGTTAATGTTCAACCAACTATTGGATAAGTTTAGTAAATATTAAAGAGAAAAAACAAAAAGAGAACAATTTTAAATCCATAATAGAGTACAGGACATTGGAATGAATAAGAACATAAAACATATATCAATTTTCTCAATGTACATAGATCTGTTATGGAATCATCTGATTAAAAAAAAACATCTAAAATATTTAAACTCATGAGTGAAACAATAGGAACAAGAAGTCCTTCATAATGTAGGTATAATTACTTTTGCATATTGAAAGATCTCACCATTAAAAGTTTAATCCTTTCTCTCATCAAGTAAAAAAGAGATAAAAAGGTGCTGGACGTAAGAAAAAAGAAAGTAATTCATAGATAGATAAAGCTAACAATGGATTCCTAGAAAATGCTTGTTTTCCTTAATTTATGTTTTAACCAACTGCTCCTTATTTCCCCTAACAACCTTTTGTAAATATTAAAGAATGAGATTATAGGATTTCTAAATGATGTAATTACAATAGTTTCCATTTATGATGCAATATTTAGATTAAACAAATAAAGATGAAGAAAAAGTAGTTTAATAAGATCCATCTGTTTATTTTCATCAATTTATTATGAATCCTCAACAAGTATATGATGATAAGAACTAATTTTACAATTTTGGTTTTCCACAATAATAACAAATGCAATTCAACTTTAATTACTTTTAATAATTACCAAATGAATTCTATGGTACCAATTCGGCTGAAATCATCCAAAAAGATAATTAATCAGAAGATCAATGATTTAATTATATTGTTTTATTAAGTTGCATTTAAAGAATATAAAGCAAAGAACATATGGTTATATAGACTGATATCAAATTAATAAATAAAGTCTTATCAAAAAATAATTAAATCAAAGTTGTCTTTATAGTTTTAATCTTTTAAATAGTAAAAGAATATCCATACGATATCTAAGTTTGTTGAAGAAAATAATGATTAAATAATTTATGTTCAATGCTGAAATATTAACTTATATTTTCATTTTAATCCTAAAGAAAGTTATGAAAAATAGATATTACAATAAATTTATAATAAAAATTAATAGTCTTTACTGTCAAAGTTTAGACTTTAGAGATATCTATATTTATAAAATTTAATATAATTTTATTAATTAATATATCCTAATTATAATGAAAAAAAAATTATTAATTTAATAATATATATGATCAAGGTAATCTCATTCTGGCACTATTCTTCTACTGTTTATAATTTGTTTTGCCTTATCTCTAAATTTAATCACTACAGTTGCCTTCTTTTTAGAAAATGACATTGTTTTTCTTTACCTTTCTAATTTATAGTCTTCTTCAACATTTAATTTAGAGTATTTTTTAATATAAACGAATGGATAAAATAAATATTTGATAAATCTAGATAAATTTTCGATTAGATGTTTATTATAACAATTACTTACTTCTAATTAAGTAAAATTATTATGAGGTAAATAGAATTAAAAATCTCTTTATAAATCAAAGTTTTCTAAACACATGAATTTATCATTCAATTAATTTTAAATTAGAATAGATAAATTTTATAATTAAAGTACTGTTGTCTCTTGTTCCTAAAATGATTTTAATTATATTATTCTTTATTCTAAAGATGACCAATTCTCTTAAAGTTCTAAATCTGTAGTATTAAATAAACTCATTTTCTTTTAAGGATCCTTTTCAATTTCTATTTTTAGATTTTTCAGTCTCTTTGTGAATTAAGATTATTAAGGTTATGGCATACATCTTTTTTTGATCTAGAATTATTCCCCTTTAACTGAAACTATTTATTAATTGCTTTTTTAAGCTGTTCCATCTTCATCCTCTTATTTTTCTGGAGTGATCTGACTTTCCTATTAACTGACATTATCTACTAAAGAGGAATGTGCTCTAGGTATTACTTTCAATTCATTTGAAGTGAATTAATCAGCAATTTATTGATTAGTTGAAAATTTCATTAAAGGAGAAATCGTATTTTACCTAGCAGCTCTTCTTGATTAATGTATTTCATTCAATTATCCTATTCTTTATTACTTTATGTGTTTATTTTAATTAACTTATGATGTCTTAGAAATATGTAATTATGGAGTTTATTTAATATAATCTTTAACTTCATCTGATGTGATACTATATTGTGGAGATTATTATTATTAATCAAAATCTATATCATTTATTTCATAATACTAACATTATTTCCAAAAGTCTTCTTTAAAATATTATGCTATTTCCATTATTATTTTTTGATCACTCTTACCATTAAATTAACTTCTTCTGACCTTTCTTTTTTATTTTACTCTTGGTTATTTAATAATATATGTTTAAGATTTAATTATTTTTTCCTTATCTGCACAATAATGTACCATAGGACAAAATTTAGTTATGTGATCTCTAGAATTACACATGTAACATTATACACCTATATCTCTCAAAAATTGTTCACCATTATTGTAAAGTAAATCATCTCTTATTTAACAGTATTTTTCTTTATCCTCTGGAAACTCTCTCAATATTTTTAAAAATTGATTTCTTGGTAATACCAATAATTTAGTAAATCCTTTACTTTTATAAAACTCATTACAATATGTTCCAGTTATAAATTCATATAGACCAAATACTTAACCTGGACTTAGTTATTTAATATAAGAATCATTTTTACAATTATTTTAATCTTATATTACTTGGATCGTTCCAATTTCAATAAATGCCAAATAATAATTCTGATATGAGTCAGGCTAATCTGTAAAATCGACTATATTTTCAGGTTAAACATCCAAATATCTAATTTTATTTACTAAAGCCTTTGTAAAACCAGGAGAAAGAAATTTTGAAAACATATCACAACTATTTAATATAATTGAGTTGGCTTCTAACATTAAAGAATCCCTTAGATTTTCTGATAATTACTCCAAAATTCCTTTAACTTCTTAAGAAATTTATGTATTTTAACATTCCCAATAATATGCTAAATATTATCGAATTTTCACCTACAATTCATAGGTGATCTTCTTTTTAGCCATATATGTATTAATTATGCGTAGTTTCTACAATTTTTATTCACTATATTTAGAAATTTCATCAATTATAGCTCCTACAGTATTTACACTATAAGGTAATTAGATACTAAATATCATAATAAATATGATGCATGTCACGTATTCTAAATTAGCTAAAATTAATACAATACTCTACATTAAGGAGTTAGATCGCCATATCCAATAGTAAACATTGTGACAGTACAAAAATAAAATGATCTCAAATACTAAACTATCCATTATTCATTAAGTATATCTTCCTTTATCATCCAACTAGTACCATTGGTTACAGAAGAACTTATTCTACCACACTACTATATGCTCTAATAAATACCCCAATCCAAATACATGCAGAAATATGTAAAATGTATAATAATAAGGTGATTAATTTTGCCAATTCCAAGAAACCTGCTTAAATTTTATTAAGATTTAAGACTTCTTCAAAAATTCTAGTTAATTTGGTTATATTTTAATATTAAACAGTAAATGATAATAATCCAATAAATACAAAGGGTTCATAATCTCCAATAGAATCCCAATTAACAAATAATAAACAAATTAAAAAGATTACAGAAAATGCATCTAATCCATATCCTTTGCTAAAATTATGATGAATAATTTTTGATCTTTCCGAAACTATTTATCCAAATTAATAATAGGCTGTATTAAAATTAATAAACATATCAAATATCAATAGAAATGTTTATAAAGTAGTAATTATTATTAATTTTTCTGAATATAATAATCTTTCCTCAAATACCATATCTATTGGAATAAGGATAATAAAATACAACCTAGTTATTGAAAGAACTACATCCCAAATAATTCTTCCTTTATTTTCAGGTTGAATTACTGGAATTTAGAGTAAAACTTATTAAAACTTGTTCAAAATTAAATTTGATATCTATCTGTATTTAGCAATGATTTTTTTAGGAAGACTTGGTGTTATTGATAAATGCAATGTTTTCATTAATCCAAGAGGTTTAAAGGAATGAGATTTTTATCCAAATATCTCAGTATCATAATGAGAAGATGCATCATTAATTATTTCTAAATGTAATGGTTGTAATTTATGAAACATATGTTTATTTCTCAATATTCTATTAACAAATCTTCTAGTATGAAAATACTTCATAAAACTTCCACTAAAATTTGTTGATTATTTATGGTTTTTACTAATCAATTATATTGATGACTTTTGTTAAATGGGTCTTTAAGTTTAATTTTATGAAGGAAGTAAAATTAATTATTCACAATCTTTTAGACCTTCAAAATTAGGTGATAATGGACTTAATATTACTTTTTCTTTTAAATCTTTTGAATTAGGAGGAGGTTCAACATTATATTTGTTATTTTATGGTTTTGGAAATTAAATTCCAACATCTGAAATAGATTCCATTGATAAGAAGTCTATGCATTCTTCAGGTCTAAAATCACTTATTATTAAATTATTTTCAGTTTCTAAATGAAATTGCATTCCGAATTATTTTGTAGTTTACAAAATGTTTATTAAGAATTTAAATAATATTTCTAACTACTCATATAATTTATGAAATATTTAATAAATAATCAAGTTCTTCAAAGTTTTTCATTTCTTATTATGCTAATTCCTTATAATCAATATCAGTAATTTCTACAACTTTATATTATGGCCTTATAGATCCATTATAATCATGAAAAAGTACTTAAAGTTTTATTTATTGTTATCTAAATTTGGAAATATACAAAATCATTCTTTGTTCTAATTCTGTTAAATTTTAATATTCATTAGCAGTTAAACCCAATAATCTAACTGCATAATCATCAAATACAGTAGCTTCTATTGTAGTATGTTCATCCATTATTTTAACATTTAATATAAAACTCATTTATGGTGAATCATTTTCTATAAAGCATTTCTTACATCTATATGTATTTCTTTATGGAACCAATTCCATTTTTGAAAGACATCGATTATTTGGACATCTAGGATATGTAAATATTGATATTCCATTTAAATATCCAATTACAATCATTTATTCATTATTTTTATTTTTACCTTCATTCAATTACTTTAATACACATTCTTCTAATTATTCTAAATTTACTTTTAAGCAATTCTTACTAGGTTTCATAATTTAGTCTAAATCTTTCTCTTATAACCAATCTTTTAAGGTTTATACTCTAAAATTAATATAATTATTACTCAATATTGAAATCCTAATTATTTAGAATTATAGTATTATAATTAGTAGTAAGATATGTAAAATTTTATTAATTTTTTAATGTCAAACCTTTACAAATAAGAATTTCACCTTTTTTAAATATTTAAGTCACATATTATTTTCCCATTAATTTTATTATAATCCTACCAGATTAATCTAAGGCAGTTAATTGTCTACAAACCTCTGATATGGTCTTAATTTCCTAATATAATTTATATGTTATATTTATACTTAAATTGCTACAACTACATCAATTATTGAATCTATTGGATGATTTTATAAATCATAAATTTTTTTAGGGGAAATCAAAGGTATTTTTGGAAGATCATTGTTATTAGATTCTTAGATAATAGAAAATTGTGTAAATGTTATAGATTTTGGATAATTTGAATTATCTTTAGATACACTTCCATTTCTAAATAAATATACTTTTCCTTTTTCTAAAAGATTAAACATTTTTATGTTAGATTTATCATAAAATAATCCAGTTATAATTCCTTATTCTCTATCCATAATCATTATTTTAAAATATTGAGAATTAATATTAGAATTTTTTTTCTTAAATTCTAACATATCACTTTTATCAATTATTCTTCCTTCTAAAACCCAAGATTTCTTTTTATTTACTAATAATTCTGAAATAGTCTAATTATCCTATAATTATTTAAAATAACTTTTATTCATTGTAATATCAATAATTGATTAGTTTATCAAATTTTCATCAAATATTATTGAATTTTCTATTGGTTTTGAATAATTATAATTTTCAATCTTAACTTTTTTAAGAGTTTAAGGTTCTATTTATTATGAAGGTCTATTTAAATTAGTTTTGAGAATTGTATATTTTATTTTTTTTGTTTCACTTAAATGACTATCTGGATTGAATACACTAAGATCTAACAAAATGTCTTTATATCCTAAGTATTCGCATTCAAGTATGACAACAACATAACTCTCATATTTCTCAAGATAGCTTAGTTTCCATTTTAAAAGTAAAAGGACTATAGATTTAACATCATCACTTCCTTATTCTTCTAAAAGTATTTATATAACTTTATACTTAATTATTTTTTCAATTAAATTGCTGCATTTCCTATTAATAAGGCTAATTATGTATGAAAGTAATCAATTAAGTGTGTTTCTATTACAATTTATTATCCTTTTATCACTTTTTCATTGTAACCTTAAAGTAGAAAAGATAATTTAGTATCTTATAAAGTAGAAATGTTCTCTTTATAATTTGTATAAAGATGTTCTATTTTTGATAGTTGTTCTTCAAAAATCATTTATATAAAGTTAATTTAAGTATTAAATTAAAAAATGGTTTATAAAGTATGGTTGAATTTCTGATCCTCATCCAACAAAGGTATTAATAAATGAAATTTAGAAACTTAAAGACTTTATATTATTGATAAAATAGAAATATTATAATAATGAATGTTTTATTATTATTATTTATATGTAATATCAAGCTCATTTGTTTACTACTGAATCGCCTGACTATGGTTTAGAACCTTGTTGAGTTTCTCCTGATTTAGCTCCATCAAGTTTATCAACTTGGCCTGATTAAGGTTTATTTGCTGAGTCAATTTAACCAGATTTAGGTCCATCAGCTTAACTTACTTAACCTGATTTAGGTCCAGTTCCAACTTCAAATTATCCTGATGCAGGACCTGAAACTTTTTCTACACCTCCAGATTATGGAATATTTCTTGTTAATTTAATTGAACTCAATCCTTAGTTACCCAAAAGTACTGAGAGTACTTAATCAATTGGTTGTTTTGGTTCATATGGCCATAATTCAATTTGAGATTTAGGTTTAATATTGAATGCACCATCACCAATATGAAGATTCCAATTAAACATTGTTCCTTCAAATGGTTGTTTAAAACCATCAGCTCCTAAATAGAACCAGAATTGATTTGGAACAAAATGTTTTAGTCCATTAAATTAGAAACTATCTTCTCTATTTAGATATAATGCATAAGCAAATCCTTTTCTAACCTTTGAAGAATATCCAAAATAGAGATAAACCCATTCTCCTTAGTTTTCTTAGATCTAGAATTAAGTAGATAAATCATTTTGATCATCATCATTAGTATCAAGATTTCCATAATCATAAGTAGATAAGATGAATGAATCTTTAGATTAGAAACCAGCTAAGGTTCTATCACCAGCATTAGTTGAGTCTTTCTAATATCCTGGAGCATTGATAGTCAATCTAAAGATTGATTTAAGAGTTTCTTCACTGCTTCCCTTCTTTGCTTGTAACCAACCAGATACAGCATATTCAAGAACACCTTAATATTAATCATAGAAAGTCTTAATTGGATTAGGATTTTCTTTTTCGAAATTTTATTAATCTCTTAAAACATTAATATCTGTTCTTTATGGAACTTTGAGATTTGGTTTTGGATAAACTTAGATAACATCTTTTAGGAATTATTCTTTGGATCCAACGAAACCTTATCCAAAATTGACTCTTAAATCTGAGATCATACCATTGAAGGCAGGATATCCAAATTCATTATTGGCAACTACAACTCTTGCATAACCATTTAAAGGTAAATGTTAGATATCAAGGAATTCAATTCTACCAACAGGGTTTTCAGGTAAATCTCCAAATAGTACAAAACCAACAGCTCTTGGTTGATCCTTTGATGTGAATGAATAATAAATATAATTCCAATGACCTTCTAGATAATCATCATAGTTAATGTTTTAAGCAATAGAAATCTTATTTGTCTTCTTGTCATAAGTTGTGAAATGATAATATCCTTTACCAACCCATGTAGCTAATATTCTATTTCCAAATTCAGCATTATCTTCATATTTTTCAGTATTTGTCAATCTAACAAGATGATGGAATGGTGATTTATCATTAACTCTTTAAGGAGTAGTCATTAACCATCTAGTCCACAATCCATAACCATATTCACTTACACCACCAACTTCATCTTTGAATGTAATATCATATCCTGGTTAATCATATTTTTCACCTTTTGGAACATAGATAAAACCATCCTTTTCTGGTTTCCATTGAGCCTTCTTTACATCTAAACTTTAGACTTCTGGTAAAAGTGATTCAAAGTTACCTTTCTTGGTATCAACATAAGCTCCTTTTCCAAAGACTGCTCCAACTTTTCTTAAAGGACCTTCCCATCCTCCTAACATACCATCTGATCCAACAAACATTGCTAAATATTTAGGTATCATATGTAAAACATTTTCATATGGAACAACAACTGTTTCTGATGGGAATTTGACAACTCCTGAAGCAGTTCTCTTTGGCCAACTATATCCAAACCATACGTATGTCCAAACACCGAAATTGTTTCCAACTGGTGTTGGTTTTCTGATATTAGCAACCAATCCATTATCAACATTACCTAAAGTGTAGGTTGAAAATACAACTTCTCTTGGTTGATACATAATTAACAATGTTCTATCTCCAACCATTGCAGCTTCTTTTCTATAAGCAGGTTCATTATTGGTCAATCTTAACAATACATTATTATCTTTCTTTAAAGTTGGACTTGAATATCTGAACCATCCATAAATGGCATATTCTAATGATCCTTAATATTGATCTGGCCATTCTTTAATAACTACAGCATCATCAACCTTTCTATTAATCTCTTCATCTTAGAGTTTGATAATTTGAGTAGCAGGCTCATCTAATTAAGGTGGAGTGAATGTTCCCTTAATTATTGCCTCTAAAGCTTCTGTATCAGAAACATAACCTTATCCACCAAATAACATTTATAATTATGACATTTGACCATTAAATCCTTGATAAGTGAATGTTGCACCTAAATACAATTTTGCAAATCCTTCAATAGGTTTATGAGCAATTTCTGGGAATGAAACTCTTCTTACATCTCCAGTGGATGAGAATTTGACATATCCTAATGCTTATTATTTGACACTTGAGAAACAGAAGTAAACAAAGTTCCATTCTCCTTCCAACTTATCATCATAATTAATATCTTGAGAAAGATTTGGATTGTTATTAACTAAGTTATATGTTCTAAATCCATATTATCCATTAGTTAACCATAATGCTAATGTTCTATCTCCTACTTTGGCACTATCTTCCAAAACTTTATTCTAAGTGAATCTATATACTGCCATTCTTGCTTATTTCTCCAAAATTCTCTTTGGAATTGCAGTCAAGTATCTCAACCATACTCCAATAGCATATGCTGAATGTCCATCAATTGCACTAGCATCTAATTCAATTTCTTATTTATCAGCAATATCAAATTAATCTTTCTTTTCATTCCATTTCCATGGTTTTGCTTAAATTCCTAAAGCACCGGCAATATATGGCTCATATGATAAGTAATCCTTGTCTCTATATGATCCTGGCCCAGCATAAAGGTACATATGAGCATATTTACCATTGTATGGTGTATGAATACCATCTTTACCAGCCCATAATCCTAAATATTTTGGAACTCTGTGCATACATCCTAATTTCTTCTCATTTTCAGTTGTTCTTGTCTTCATGAAATGCACAACTGATTATGCCTTTCTACTATATGCATAATAAGCATAAACCCAAGCAGTTTAATCAAGAGTTGGTACTGGGGCTTCAGTGAAAATTTAAGCGAAAGCATCATGATTTTCAGGTGTAGTATATGTACTGAAGAATATTCTGTGATCAACATATTGGAATACTGATAAAACTCTGTCTCCTGGTCTAACATGATTTGCTCTTGAAGCTTAATCATGATATGATAATGTGTAGACATTCTCCCAAGCAACTCTTCCAATTGAACTCCATCTGAACCATAATGAAACTGCATATTCTTATTATCCTGCAAATTCATCAGCATATTCATATGGTTTCATAGTAGCTTCTTCTCTCTTCATTGTTTGTATATCTTCAAATACAGTATTCTTAATTGAATTCAATTCTGGAACTTTAGGCATTCCTGGCAAATTCTTTCTCAAATCATCAGCTGATTCAATATATCCACCATTTCCTAATATCAAACTGACTAATCCTAATTGTCCATTGAATGCATGATAATTTTTGAGTAATTTGCTACCTGATGATCCAACTGCAAAGTAAGCATAATCAGTAATAGGATTATGAGTAACTACTGGGAATTATGTTGATCTGATTAATTCACCATTAAACACTATATGTCCTTACACTTTTCCAGTATTATCAAATCTCTTGTATCCATACCAAATATAATTCCATTATCCATCCAACATTTATCCATATTGAATATTCTAAACAACATTATTGTTTCCTGGAGTATAGGTTGTGAAATGATAGAATGGTTGTCCAACCCAAATAGCAAGAGTTCTATCTCCTTATTATGCAGCATCTCCTTAATAATTTTAATTGATTGTGAATCTAGACAAGGCCATCCAAGCAGGTTTATCAACTAATTTATTTGGACCATTCCATAAAAATCTTGACCAAAATCCATAACCATATTCAGTAATTCCATTAATAGCATCATCAGTTAATTCAACTTCCTTTCCAACCTTTTAGTCTGGTCCCCAAGCAGAATCAAAGATATCATCATTTTTCCATGGTTTCAATTCAGGTATAACTCTTCCTCCAAATCCAAATGTCTATAATTCAGATTCACCATCACCATAACCATTTTCTCTATAAGATCCTGTTCCTACATTAAAGAACCAATTTTCCATTTATCCATTGAATCCTGGATGCCATTTATCTTTATGCCATAATACAGTAAAGTAAGTTGGTACGAATTAATTAACATTAGGGAAATCTCTATGTTCTTCTGAATCTGGGAATTTAATAAATCCATGAGCCTTTTACTTTTCTCTTGAATAACCTTAATAGATAAACACCCAAGTCTTATGTAAAGTAGTCTTATAATCGAAATTTTGTGGGATAGACCAAGCACCACCATTAACTTAATCAACAGTGTAAACAGTTTAATGATAGAATCCTAATCCTTTCCACATAGACATAGTTCTATCTCCTGGCTTATCCATATTACCAACTAGATCCTTATCCCAACAAGTAACTCTATAAACAAGATGCCATGGTCCAATATTTGCAATATCAGTCCATCTAGCCCATCCAGAGATAGCATACTCACTTTTTCCATTAGCATCTTTTGGTTCAATTGTAATAATATCTGGTTCAGCTGCAGCATCAATCTTAACTTTATCCTTTTTTATTGGTAATGTCTTTCTGGTCTAATCAAATCTGAATTCATCTGGTAATTTCATTGTTCCAGTAACATAAGCCTTAACAGCTTCTTAATTAGCAAAGTGAGCTCCATCA